TCTGCAGCAAAACAAAAAAAGGGTACAAAAGTTTAATGTCTAAGCTAGCTTTTATTATACAAAATCCGTATCAAATGCATCTGTTTATTAAGTACAGTTGGCAATGCTATTATTAAGGTTTCAATGTTTTCCATCCTAAGCTCCTCTATCTTTGCCGCTTATAACTTTGGCAGTCTTTAATTGTTTGTATAAACATTTACAGGAGGCAGATCTCTAGAAAAGCTTTCCTGGAAGCAGGAAGTATCTGCTCCAAGCTGATATGTTTCAAGAAAATTTCAGAAGGTCATATCCAAGAATGGTGCTTGGGAAAAACATGTTACTTTCCCTCTACTTAAAAAAAAAAGAAAAAAAAAAGAAAAAAGAATAAAAGTTTCCTCTGGAAAAACTAAAGTTTTGGAGCAAAGACTTGAGTGCTGCAGCAAATAGTCTTTGTTGAGGGTACACCTTTTGTTGTGCTTGTGAGATGTGGCCATGGTCTAACCCTTGAACATACCTAGTCCCCTAAATCATCCCAGTTTGCACGCAGTGTATGGAGAGAGCCAGCTCAGACACCACAATATGACAATATGTCAGACAATATGTCTGTTGGCAGAGAAGCAGGCTTTTATTAAGCTGTTTTTATTACCCAAGCCAGCTAAGTGTCTCTATCCTGCACTGCAGTAAACAATGCAATCAGGGCACGATCTTCCCTTTGCTGGCCTGGTCAGTACCTCTCAGTGCAAGTGTGCTTGTCACTGCACCCCTGGGCACAAGAGAGGCACCTACTGAGCTCCGCTGGCCCCTACTGCAAGAACACGCCCTGCTTCACCACCTGGGCCTGCCCAGTGCCTGCAGTGCAAATTGCCACAGAGAAGACACTGCTCTGGAGAAGGAAGGCACCAAATGGATGTGAATGCCTCTAAGAGACCGTGCTATGCTGCTGAGGCCACTCATAGCAAGTGCAGGCACCAACAGTGGCTGCTGTAAAAGATTCAAGGAATACAAAAGGACCCAAAGGGCGCAGTGCAGCAGTAGGGCCAAGTATGGGGCATGCAAGGAGCACCAGGAATTGTCAGTGCACTGTCAGAAGCACTGAAATTGCTCATAGTATCTCTCTAGGCTCTTGGTCCAAGCAGGGAAGCCCAGGGCACATCAGCTGCCTCCTCAGAAATACCTGTTGGGCAAAGAGAAGCCAGCTCTTACCCTCCTTTCCCTCTTACACTTCGGAAAAAACCTAACAGTTGACCTAACAGAATACTCAGCAAAACAAAAGCAGAAATGCCAAACTAAATGACAATTTACAGCTTTACAGGAAGCAGTTGTGTCAAGGGAACACCAGCACACCAATGGTGTTTAGTCCTGACTAAAAATGAACCAGATACAGCTGGTCTCTGTGAGTTGTCATTGACATAATGCAGTGGAAATTTCACAGGCCAATACTCCAACTTACTGAGCTCTTAGAGAATTCTCAAAAAAGGCATTTCTGTGATTCCACACTGCACCCAACACATACAGCTGGGCACTGCCCCAAGAAGCATGAAAGTCAGGGCACTGGTAATTTGGGGACAGTTGGCATATGACCAGTGTAAACAGCCACAGCCATGCTCTCTCTCCTGGTTTGTAACATATTATGTGTGGTAAACCATGGGATTTTGCATTATGAGCATACTGCAGTCTTTTGTGCTGTCTGCCTTGGCCATTTGGTCCTAATTAACTGACCATCCCCACAGTTAATTCCTGGTTCCTGTAGTCTTTGTTACCTTGAGCAGGCTAAGCTGCTCTGGGTAGCAAAGACTACAGCCTCTGGGGTTTGCAGGGTTCAAGAAAAGCCTGTCCACCTACACAAGCTGAGACTCCTGCTTGCTTCAGGCAGGCAATGAGATGCTCCAAGGTTCTGGTAGCTGGCCACAACTACTGGCCACAAACTGGCTGCATGAAAGCTTCTCATCCACTCTGCTCCACAGGGAAGGTTGTTCACCTACATTTGCCTTTAGAGTGAAACCTTGGCAGTCCCTCAGAGTGGCCCTAACAAAAAAAACAAAAAACAACAGAGCAGAGAGGCAGAAGCCACTGGTCTCAGAGCAGTGACTGCTGCCTCCAAGACAAGATGTGGGCCTTGGGCTCAGGTTCAAGTCAAACACAAATCACAGACGTCACTTCTGGCACATTTCTAGAGCACAGGAGGCTGGGGATTTCTTCTGTCTGCAGATCCTTCCTGGAAATGAGACTCTCTGGCCCAGCTGCCTGAGGACCAGCACTGGCTTTCCTGGGAGGGGTGCAAATAACCTTGCAGACTTTACAGAGGCTCCAACCCCAAATCACTCTTCCCTCTGGCTATCAGAAGAATAGATGCATCTGGCCAAATTAACAGAACCAGAACAGTAAAGCCTCACTGTGTAATGGAGGGAGGTCTGGACACATTTGTCCCTGCAGCTGCCAGTCAACCTTGATGACTCAGGTTTCTTTGGGACCTGGGTTCCTATTTCTCTGCCTCATCTCTCCAGAATATTGATGGCTTGGGCTCAGACAGAGTTTTCTGAGAAATTCATGAATCCCAGATTTAGCTGCTCCTTTTAACCCAGCATCATTTGTGTCTCTTTCTCCTAACCAGCTAGTTTCCCTCTTTCTCTGAAATGGTGCAGAGGGAATCTGTACAATACCTAGTCTCTCCTGACCAGCAACACTCTATTGACCTGTGTGCCTGTTGCCTAGTATCTCCTTTCCCTCCTCCCTCCCCACAAGATTCACTGTTAAAAATGGCAGCAGATGAGGTCCTCTGTTACGGCAGAGCTTGCCACCTTACAGAGAGAGCCTCCAACACCAGCCAGACTTTCTGAGCTCTGATCAGACAGATTTCTCAAAACACCAACCCTTCAACAACTTCTGTGATTTGGAGCCAGTTATTAATATCTATTAAAATGTTTGTGTGAAAGCACAGTTTCCAAATTCCTTCTGCACAATACTTGATCTCCTTCTTTTTGACACACACACAAGTACACCATTTTATTATTTGTACTTTGTTTTCCTCAGTACATAATTTCAATTCCAATTCATTAATGTCAAAGCATAAAAGAAGCAACTGCACATAAAGCAACAAAAGTTTGCTAAACCCAGAAGATAACAGCTGATAATTAAGGAAGTGCCATTATTTCTTGGCAAAGGAGACTGTGTTTTCAGAGACACATTCTTAAAGGGCCTCTCTTTAGTGTAGCTGCATAATTTGCATGAACACTCTTTACACAGAAAAATAAAGGTTTTCAATATGGATAAAAGGAGGCTTTAATGTGCCCATAATTTTTGTACAATGCCCATCCCATGCCCCTTGTTGGCACAGCCTGGCCGTGTGACAGGTTCACAGAAGAGCCACTCTGGCAGATCTTTGATGGTGTGGACAAAAGATCGGGGATTTTGTTAGAGCATACCTGCCCTCCACCTCCACCCTCAGTCTCATTTTATACTGATATCACTGCAGAAAAAAACACATTGTACTGATTTGAAACTGCACATAAATCCTCTACCTAAGAAGAAACCCTTCATTTCTATCTTGCCCTGGGAGTTGTTCACAGCATGGTCTCCTGCTAACTGGGCAAGTCCATCCCAAACAGACTTTTGCACTCATTTGTGTGCCCCCACATTACTGTTGCTAGCCAATGCCAGGCATGCAGGGCCAAAGGAAAGTCTCCTGGCTTTTGTGGTCTCCCTGTGTCCTTCCCTTTGGCTGTTTCCAAGTGTTGTTCAGCAAGGCTGAGCATCTATTCTGGGCTACAGTCTTAAAGTGAGATGGAAGTCTGCCAGCATGTGGAAAATGGCATGTTGCTTGGATGAAGCCTGAAACAGGCTAACCTGTTTTGCGCCTCCTAGTACTTGGATCCTGTATATCCACCCCAGTAGCACAGTGTGTCTTTGCTTTGTTTGATGAGAATCTCAGAGAGAAATTACAGCCCCCTGTTCTTCTTAAGTCTGATGTCACTACCTCCTGACTCCCAAACCCAATCTGTGGTGGAGGTCTGTGGTGGATGGTGATTGACTCACGTGGAGATTTGATCAAAGGTGGTGTTACTAAAATTACAATCAGCAGAGAGGAAAGGTGTTTCACTGGTAGACTTTTCTGAAAAATACTGCTTGAATCAAAAATGTTTCATTCTGGCAAAGCCCCATAAAGCCAGGACTATACCTCATGTAAGGGCTGTTGATAGTCCACACAATACTGCTACAGAAGTAGCACCCAAGTCACCAAGAGCTGATAAATTACACAGATTTTCTGTACGTTGAGAAAATTTTGTGTTATTTATTGACTTTTAGACAAGATACACTCTACAGACAAATTGTGGGTAAGATCTAATTTTCCATTCCAGTATGATATCTAACAGAAAATTTTGCATTATGCCTATTCCTGAAGGAAAAATAGATGTTCTTTATATACATACTTGGCCTTGTAAACTCAATTGCGAGCACTCAATTATGTGCCACATAGCAGGGCTAACTCATGCTGCTACATTGGACCCCTTTGGATGCAAACCTGTCCTTTGAAGGTGCTGTCTCCTGATGGAGCTTCCATCCTGTTATCTCAGCTCTGCCCACATGTAATTCAGGGCTGTGCTTTCATGGCTGATTTAAGTTCTTTGTCTGCAACTTGTACCCATGACATGCTGATGCTCTGACTGCTCTGGTGGACAAGACTGTGGTATCAAAAGTAGTTTGCCTGATGTGGAATAAGGATGTAGTGGGGGTAATCCCCATGGACACTGGCAGATCACTAGGAAAAGGCACAGGATGGTCACTAAATGTACAGCCTAGAAGCTGGAACATGGGGCAGCTCTGAAAGTTTCCTTAATAATGTGTTTATGGCAGGTAGAAACAGGTTATTGCAGGGAGTTCCTGTCCCAGCAAACTCGGCTGAATCCAGAAGGAGTTCTGGGCCACCGAGGTTTCTCTCAGCAATGTGATGTTACAGGGGCTCTCTCAGCCTGGTTTTATGGCAACACAGAGCATTAGTGATGTCAGTGAGCATTTGCACTTACACAGACAACACCATCTAACCAGTCCCTCCACCAGAAGTGCTGCTGCCCTTGAATGTCCAGCTGCTTAATGTATTTCTTTAGGAACATAGTGTAGGCATTTGTGTTAAATTCCCACCCCTGAGCTGTAAGAGAAAATCCTATCCATCCACTCAGGAGCTAAAATTTGGATTAATCTATTACAACAACTCTTTCCTGTTCATTTCCTGTTGAGCAACAGCCTAAATACCCAGACCCAAAGACAGAAAAGAATGCAAATTATTACTTCCCCTATTACATGGGAAATACAAAGAGGACAAAAGGTGAACTTCACCCCTGTGCTGAAGGTCCAAAGATCAGCGTAAGAAGACTGTCTCTGAGTCAGAATGATTCACTCAACAAGGTAAACAACAAATTCCTCATAAGGGACAAAAACCCAACAGCAATTTGACTGACTTACTCAGTTAACTACATCAGATGTAGTCACGCATTCTGTGCTTTCAGTACTCCTTCCCACCCTACCACCACACAAAATTGCTGCAGACCCAGTCTGCAGCTGATGAGATTACTGACGCATGAATTCATGGACCAATTATGGAACTAGAAGTCAAGCACTCTCACTCTCTGACTTCTACACTGAGATCTATGATGCTGGGAATTGCTTTGTTTTTGTAGCAACGGGGTTGGAACATTTACTCACTTGATGATCAGAGTATATAAAAACAGGAATATAAATGCTCCTGTTTCTTGGTACACAGAAAGTTTTCCCAACATGAGTAGGAGACATTGTGGTCAAAACTGATTTTGTATGTAAAAATAACTATTTACAGATAACATACCAAACCTGTCATACTGTCATTCACAGACATACATGTTTATCCTTGTCAGAACAGTGCAGAAATTGCTCTTACGGTACAATTTTATTCAAGACAGTTGCGCTAAGCTCATTGAATTCTGCCACATTATACACCTTACCATGTGAAATCAGCTATTCTATACTGCAAATGGCATGAACAATTTTATATATATACCATTTCCCACCGTGTTAATATTTTTTCTACATAGTCTAAACAATCTTGTAAGTTAGTTACTCTTTCAGCTGGCCCATAGTAAGTACTGCTACCAGAAAGATAATTAGCATGATTTTGGTGTTATTTCTGTTGCTTATCCACTACACCCTGAAAGAAAACCACTATTATTTCTAATGGTCATGGAAATGCACATCTAGATATCTTCACAAGCAGTTTCACCTCGACATGAGGAAGAATTTCTTCATGTTGAAGACGGCAGAGCACTGGAACAGGCTGCCCAGGTGAGTTGTGGAGTCTCCCTTTTAGAGACAGTCCAAACACACCTGGACACGTTCCTGTGTCCCTGTTCCAGGTGACCCTGCCTTGGCAGGAGGGTTGAATCAATGATCTTCAGAGGCCCCTTCCAACCCTAACAATTTTGTGATTCTGTAGCTGCACTTTTGATTAATTCTAGTGAACAGGAATTACAATTCCATCTGTTTCACTCCTACACATTCACGGTGCCGCTGTGTGTAAGGACAGCCTGGACATGAACACATCTTGTTGCATCAACAGCTTTAAACGTGCCGAATCGAGGAGGCGAGAATGGTTTTGCTTTCAATACCAGGGCACTAGACTCACCTTTGGAAGGTGAAGTGCTCGAAACCTGTGATACTTCTGTTACTGAAAGGTTAAGTTTCCTGAATGTGTGTTTTCCGCATTCAGCACCCAAACACTGAAGATCAAGGGAATGTGCTGTATGCTGGAACAGAAGCACACATCGTGGCATTGGCCAATCTATACATAGAAGACACTAGTGAGGATGTGACAAATTGGTACACGGTACAAGGCTGGTTCAACATCTTTGCCTGTCAAAGGCTAAGACACAGGTTATAGCTAGCGCAGGACTGATGTGTCACGGCTCTCTCTACACCCAAGAACATCTGTGCCTGCGAGTCAGAAGACACTGACAGGGAATTCGTACTTAATGTGTCCTATAAAGTCTGAGATTTTCTATCTTTGGTAACGAAAAGGATTTATTTTCGCAGACGGATGGACGCCGCCAGGCTTTCGCCGCCCGCGGGGGCCGCCGGCACCACCAGGAGCGGCTGTCGGAGCCCTCCCGCCCGGTGCCGCGGCCACCGCGCCGCTCAGGCGCTGCCACCTCCTGGGGACGCGCCCGCAAGGAGCGGCAAGGGGGACGCGCGCGGGGCGCGGGCACGCGCACGGGGCACGCGCACGGGG